GCATCACACCGTGACAAACTTGGAATTTGCTGAAGCCGAAACACTAGACGACAACTACTGTGGTAACATCAGCAACCAAGCAAAGGTTACATCAACACTGCCATGTTTTAAAGTCAAGATACAAGGAAGACCAGGGCTTGCTTTGATTGACACTGGGGCGACTATGAACTTCGTCAACCGTGCCTTCCTCGAGGAGTTGCCAGGCACAGGAGAGGTAGAGGACTCGACGACAATCTGCCTGGTAGACGGGACGACTCGAGGCAGGTGCCCAGTGCGAAAAGGCCTCACAGTCGAGCTGGCCCCTTCTGTCACCAAGGTGGATGCTACTGAAATGAATCTGTGCCATTTTGATGCCATCCTGGGCATCCCGTGGCTGCTCGAGGCCCGACCAAGATTTGAGTGGGACGAGCACGCCCTTGTTGTGGATGATGAAAGGGTGTGGCCCGTCCACCATGTGCCTCGGGAGAAGCTACCTGACGACCTTGCACAGGCCGGGAGCAAAGAAGTGCTGAGCGAGGAGAAGGACAACGAAACCGAGGCTGAAGACATCACTCCATTGGAAAACCTCGCACCCGAACAGCTGGAGGTGACCTTCAACCCAACCGAACGGCTAAAACGGTGCGTCCGGCAGCGAATAAGTCTGGAAGGTGACCACAGCCACCCAGAGGGGGAACCGTGCAGCGAGGACCGCTACAAGGACACCGGCGAAAAAGGAGCGGAACAGGAGGAGAGCTGCGGCGAAGCTAACGCTGCGCCGTCACTCCAAGGAAGTAAGGACGTCAACACGGTCGCTGAGGATCAGACCGGCGACGTCTACAACGCTGGTAACGACCAAGGTGTGACGTCTGGAACTGACGACTGTGATGGTTCCAAGACGCGAGACGAGGGGGACCGAGACGGCAAAATCATCACCAACTGCGCGGACGTCAAGGTGGCGACGGAGGACGTCAAAGTAAAGATGACGACTCCGCAAGGTGCAGCCACCCAGCTAAACGAAAACGGCACCGAGAATGGCAGCTTCACGGGTGTCACGGCCAGGGCGCCGGGCATCAAAGCAAGAGCTGTACCACAAGGAAACGCGCCCGCCACAAAAACGGTACAGGGCCAGGCGGCGAAGCGGCGTGCAAGGAGACGCTTCAAGAGGCGTATTACGGTGGTCATGTGGCAGTTCGACGCGATGGATCGAAGGACGTCAACAGGCGGTCAAGGCGTCAACTGCGAACCAGCGCCGCCTGACCTGTTAGACGAAAGGATGGTGACAAAAATATGCACGGCAGGGGATGCCGCGCTTCCCAGAGACAAGGTACGACGAAGTGGAAGGGTCCTAAAAGTTATGGCTTTATATATAGGGCTGGCAGGAGTATTGGCCACTGCCATTCTGCTGCCCGCCATCCTCTACCACACCGAGCCCACAGTCCGCCGTCCCACTGCTCTCGTCCAAGACGAGATGGCGCCCGAAGTTGAGAGTTGGAGCGATATCTACCAGCGCATCCATGGGTGCAATGCGGTGGAGCAACTGCGTCGCCATTGGGAGCTGGTGAACCGGCCACGCCCCGACAGCCCTGTGGATTGGGGTTCCAATGACGACTCCGACAGCGGCGAGGGGCTGGATGTCACCAAGGACGTTCCGCCCATGACAAGGGGGCGCAGCTGGGCGGCGGCGGCCAGCGACGAGTCGGGCGCAGCCGCTCAGGGTCAGCCCGGGTGGCGAACCGCGGCGAGGCCCAAGAAGCGAGGGCTGGAGCCGTACGACTCGTAGAGCAAAACGTGGACACGGTCACCGGCAAGCAAGCGGCTGCGACGGGTGATGGGAGGCTGCGACAATGACGATCCGTGGCGCGACGTCATCCAGCCCTATTGGGGGGGTGACTGGACCCGGCATCAAGGGGGACGCTGGTGGACAAGCGCGGAGCAGGAGGACGAAGCACAGGGCGAATAGTTGACGACGCCCGAAGGTTACCGGTGGCCTGTTTGGGTTCAACCTGCCTGGGGCGGCAGCTGGGCCTGAGCCGGGAACCGCACGGGAGGGACGACCCGCGGCGTACCACCCCATCCAGCCTGCCGGAGTGTCTAGGGATAGGGAACACTCGCAAGGACGCTTCGTAGCGGGGGGGAAGGGTGTGAGGGCAGCCGTTTGAGGGCTTGTACAATACGGGACATCATTGTACAATAGCATGGGTAGTCATTGTACCATAGTTTCTGAGCCGCGCCAAACGGGCACGGGTTATACAATAGATATTTAATATAGACGGAACGGGGTGTGAGGTGCACACCAAGCCGGGTGCCGTTCAGGGTCAAGGCACGTGGGACAGACCCACAGGGTGCGCCGCTGAGATTGGGTGATAATGACGTTGGGATTAGTCACGGTGACTCGCGGGACGAAACGGGGTTTACGGGTTTGAATTCGAACATCTGAACATCATAAAGTTGCCAATCTGGCATGTGCCGGTTGGGCTGCCTAAACCCCGCCCTTGGACGGCTATTTAAAGCTGTCCAAGGTGAACATTGTAATCCAAGTTTGCTGCGGTTCTGTACCTTTGTCTCCGCGCTCAAACCTGAGCTGCTGCCCGACCAAAATTGCCGAGCAATCTGCCTCCGGCAGTTTTGCCCCTTACAATGTCAATCCCAAACATGTGAGTTGGTTGGACGAGGCCACTGACCCAAAGGACAAAGGGGAGTTGCGCCCAACAAGAAGAACTTTATCCAGGAAGCGTAATCCCAATCTGGCGACATTCCCCGACAACATCGAGACAGCCATCGCAGAGTGGTTTGAATACACTTGGCAACCAAAAGGTCTACAGGAACTCTGGTCGGCAGAAGACTGGTGGCGCAGCAATGAGTTGAGGTTTCCTCTGATTGCAGAATTAGCGCGGAGAGTGCTGGCCACGCAGGTGAGCTGGCGCATCTCTGACTGTCTGCTTGCATATTTGTTTGTCCATCTTCATTGTTGCTAGACACATTGGCCCAGTTCAGTTTGGGGACGTTGTATTGGGGTTGACGCCATGCTTTTTCATGTGCAGGCATCCTCCGCATCATCAGAAACACCCTTTCGTGCAAAATGTCGTTAGTGGATATTACACAAGTGTAGAAATGGTAATGTTGCACAACTTCAAAATATGTTTTTCTTTGATTTTGAATATGTTTATTGCATTATGGGTCGATTGCACATATTGAACACAATAGTTTTTACAATTTGCTTGGAAATCAAGATGTTGCACACTAATTGTGCTATTGGCTCACTAACGACATTTTGCAAGAAAGGCTGTTCAGAGCGGAGTTTTTCAAAATCCGGCTTGGTGGTCGCCACGAAAAGGATGGCCATGACCTCTGCTAATGTCGATATATGAGGTGGCACGTCCCTAGCTGTCCACTTGCATATCTATATGTCCATATTCGTTCTTGTTGAGCCCATTGGCGAAGTCTAGAGCAGGGATGAAGGTATGCTTTTTTTTGTGTGTGTAGGGGATCATTGGTGGGATGGTACATGTAGCGCCAAGGGTGGGAAGACCACCGCGAAAGGAAAAAAAAAACATAGAAAGAGTATGGCAGCACGCACCAGGATACGGAAGCGTCTAACTGAGCGCAGGAAGTCAAAGACGTTATCGAGGACTACATCAAAGTCCAAGGCATCAGATGACGAACCATGACGAATTTTGTTATAGTTGCTGCGAGTGAACGTGTGCATTTGGCAAAGGATTACTAGCTATTCATTACCACAGCGAGTACCGGCCATGGGTTGGCTGGGAAAACGCAGCGGGGAATTGCCGTGTAGCCCAGGGTGTGTTTATATATGTAGTCTAGCGTTTGCAAGGGATGGCCGGGAAAGAACGGTGGGTTGCATCCCCTGTCTGGCAAGGAGTACCGGCCGTGGGTTGGCCGGGAAAACGCAGCGGGGGATTGCCTTTGGCCCCAGGGTGTGTTTATGTACATAGTCTAGTGTTTGCAAGGGATGGCCGGGAGAGAACAGCGGGTTGCGTCCCCGGTCTGGCAAGGAGTACTGGCCGAGGCAGCATTTATGATGGCATGGACTGCAAATAGGTAGACATACGTTTTTGACACATGTATTAATATTGCACCTCGTTATGTCACTGCTGTGGTCTATATCTAGAGGCAAAGGTTGCTGGACTAAGGGAAAAAATCCGCTTGGTAAAAATTGCCTCCAACAGAAACCGCCGCTGACCAACGGAATGCTACCGGAATCTCAAAGTCCGTGACGGATAGCAACGGAATGCCAGGGAAGGCAACGGACAAAAAGACACTTTTACAGAAACCGGTGGCTGCAAACACCCCCTTGACGGACAGCTCCAGAGCCAAAAAAATGAAAGCTGACGTGGCATGAACAGCTACGGAAACCCGTCCCTGGCTAAGTAACGGAAAATCGACGGACGGATTTTTGATGTATAAAAAAATTACAGAAGTAAATTAACAGAAAAAAGCTGAGCGGCCACGTCTAATCCAAACCCATCATTACAAACGAAGTGAGTGGTATTTATAGTGCGATTGTGCGATAGTTCATGAGTTGCTGTCTCCAGAATACCCACTCTGGCCACTTTCATGAGTTGGCCGGGTTCGTGTCCCTTTCTCACGCCAAGTTTCTATTCCCGCCGCCCATACCAGCTACGATCCATTGCCGACTAGCCCAACAACTACCCGCGTACACTACCCACTCCCACTCTCCCTCACTCCCACACTTCCTCAACTCCTATTCCCGCCGCCATCCCCAACTATGAACCAATCCCAAAGCCGTCCCCATTCATTCACTACAACCAATTTCCCTTAACTGGCTCCCCTATCATACGTACAGCACCACTCCCCACACGCTATATAGGGACCCCTACTGTGCCGGGTAAATACGGTATTACCTCAATCCGAATAGTTGTCCAACCCATCAGCCAACACAAGCCAATCTGTAAAAATGCCAATCCTCGCCCCTGGCAGATCTCCGGTAGGTGTCGCGGCCGCCCCTAAGGCGAAGAGCGATCCCACTGGGACGGTCCGGTATGCAAATACCTCGTCTGGCGGCTCCGGGCCCTTGCGCCTTTTCCCCGCTTCCTCGGGATGCACCAGGTGTCTGCCGCCCACTACCAAAGACACCTCTTCCTGGTTCCGGCGTTGCCGGCAATTCTGGCGCATCACGGGCAGGGCGATTGGGACGGTGGAGGGGTGTGGGACTGAGTCCAGGTGGGAATCGGTGAAATTGCATTGCTCGGTAGCCTGGGTTGGGGTTGACGGCGATGTGTGACTTCGGAGATGTGCCGTCACGTGGGCGTCATTGCTTCCTTCTATTCCTACTTTGTGTCATAGTTACGAGTTGCGTGTCGTCCCAGCGAATATGTCTGAAAGTAATCTGTTGCCCTGTTGAATGGAATCCAACGTTTGCGGCCTTGAAAACAACTCGCTGTGCTGCTGTCCTCCCTGTATTTGAGAATCCCAGGCACAAATGTAGACGCCTGTTGTGTCGAAATGCTGACACACTGGGACTGGTGAATGTGCCCATAATTCGTAAGTTGTATTTGTTTTTAGTTCCAGAAGTTACCTTAAGTTTAAGATGGATCAGATAACGACAAGCTGCTACCTGTGCCTCTCATGCATGCCTTTTGCCATGTCCCCCAATGCTGTCATGGTGAACGATTGTGCACAATCTCTGCTGCGTAGGTTGTGCGGTGTCACTGAATGCACTGCTGCGTTCGGTGTAATGCACAATGCTGTGGAGTGTATTGCCGCGAAACCCTGAATGCTCTTGTGGCAGTAATCCATGCTCTGCAGTGTCAGTGCCACATTGGTGCCAGTACTATGTTTGTGCAGCGATTTACTGTCCTCCAGCATTTGATCCTTACAACATGGACCACATGCACACAGTGCAACTGGTGCATGATAAACTAGGACCAATGGAGGTGGCTCTACATGCAAAATCTAACAGAAATACAGCTGTCCAAGAGGACATAGAAGCAGCACCAGCTAAAGCAGTGACTGTCACAGATTCCCATTGCAATCGTTGCTGTCTTTGCTGCTTCCACTCTAGTACTCACAGCCACAAGTGTACCTGACTAAAAAGGGGAATGAAAGCTTGTGGGCTCCTATCACATATATACTAAGTGCTAAAATGCCACCATTGCACCTGCAAATGTTCATTTTGGCCACTTCATGCAGTGTGAGTTTTTGCCTTTAGGATGTGCATCAATCAATGCTACAGAGGTCGTCCGCACAGACTGCTGTTCACTTCCCAAGAAGAAGCATGAAAGGAGGAAAACCTGAGAGTATAGAATCTATTGTAACTGGTGTCAGGAACAAGATACAGGGGACCCACGTCACAAGCTGCATTCTTGGCTCCAATGCTGCAGGCAGTGACTCCCAAGTTGGCATTCAATGCAATGGCGGTTGTTGTGCTGCCATTGTACACTCTTATGGCAGCCAGGCCAAGGTCCCTTATGGTGAGCAGTACCCATGAATCTGCATTGATGGCACTTGTTAGATTTCGGCAAGACGCAACCATGCATCGCCCTATGCCACAGTTTTGGATGCTGTTGTGCCTGTCCTTGCTTTCAAGCTACAACAGTCTTGTGCTACTGACACAAAGAAATCAAGGGAATTGAAGCACTGCTATGTATCCTGCAAGGCAACAAAAGGTGTGAGGAGTTGAAACCAATTGCACTGCGTCATCTTTGTTCCAGAGTCAGACCTTTATCCTCTCTTCTGATTTTGAGCCCCTGCACATGCACATGCACCACGCACATGCACTTCTCCATGGGAAAGGCAATTGTGCTAACAATGTGGATTCAAAGTGTGCCCTTATCATCTTCACCATAAGGGGCAGTACTTTGTCACCTAATAACAAATGAAATCAGTGGATGGACAACTGTGGCTATGGGAGGTGGTGAGGTCGTGGTTGGAAATGCTCAAATTACTTCCTGGAGGGAAAATTGATTCTGTCTGCCTGTTGCAAAGAATTTGCACTGGGTTGTGCATGATAAAGCCAAAGGGGTGTTGTTTAAGAGCAACTTCACCACATGTTTTCAGGTATTTTGTGTCAGTGGTTTGCACTGGATCTTAGAGTGCAAGGTTAGTTCAGCAATTAGTTGCAACACAGTGGCTTGGCCTTGGGTCCAAGAGAACACCTGCTTCATTTAGTAATGACCGAGACAGGGCTGTTGCACATCCTGATTATAAATAGAATTTACTAAATCTGTCTTTCCTCTCTTTCCTGCTTTTTGTGTGTGACAGATTTTTCATATCCAAGCTGGCATTGTGCACTCCCCTCCAGATAGCCTTTGGTTCTGTGGTTCGTGACGATTGCTGTTTGCAGACCCGCAGGCTGGTTCAGTCCCCTCTCATCTATGTGGCTCTTGCTGCGCTCTACACCATATTGCTGCTGCAATGTGCTCAGGATGGGCTTTTTGCAAGAGTAATGGACATATTGAGAGCCTCTTCACCACTGCCAGATGTAGGGAAATCACAATCGCGCTCCTGAAACCATGGAAGTGCTCATCTTCGCCCTGCAGATGCGGGCAGATGTACACATCGACTGAACCCATATGTAGCCTTCGAGTCCATTGAAGTCTGTTGTTATCAAATTTGTTGCAAAACGCACATGGCGATGCACTACCTTTGCACTGGGCAACACAACGTCTTTTCTGAAGAACGGGTGGCTTATTCCACATATTGTTGGAAAACTTTGCTATCCCACTGTCCTATGAGCATTTCTGGATGGCTGACGAGAGGAAGGGAAATTTAGTCACAAAGTTCATGAAAACGGAAAAGATGAAAGATGTGGACAGGCTCTCCTATTCAGGGAACGTACCATTGCTAGCATAGAGACAGTGGAGGCTCAATTGTGCAAACGAGCAAATGGCAATTCAGTTGCAGCATCAAAATTCACATTGCCATGCCATTCTCTTGTGAAAAACTGCTTGATTGAAATGCACTGAGATATTGTCTTCAGTCACCAAATGTGCACAACTGCTTCTTCTTCTGCTGCTTACTACTTCAAAATTCTATTGTCACAGTCCCTGGCTTGTTGTTATGCATCCTTTGTTGAAAACCTGTGCTTCAGTTCATGGCACTGCTTCTATTCTTTCTAAGTGGCTCTATTATTTTCATGGCAGTGCATTTGGCTTGCTGTCCTTGCTCAGCCGATGGCCTTGTTGTGCTTGCTATGGCATGCTCCTTTGTAGCTGGTACCACCTTTGCCTTATTGCAATTTGCATTTTGCTATTGTATCGATGTGGCGTGCTGTCCTGCTGTACTTGGAAGCTTCTGGATCATCTCATGCTGTGGAAACAGGGCATGAGACTGTTTGTGAAAGGCAGTGGTGCCCAATGCATGCCCTGGTAACATTTTGAGCACATACGGTGCATGTCTCACTCCCATCTCCACTTTCAGGTATCAGCCCTTGCTCACCTCCTCCAAGACACCAGTGTGACATCCCTCACATGGGTTCATCTCCTACTTATGGATCTGTTCATGGCAAGGTGCGGTATGGTCACAGACCAGGGATCGCTTATCCTGACTTTGCCTATTGCATTTCAGAAATGCACGAGGTGATGTGCGATCTGTCTTGCCCACATATCCCCTCTCCAACGCGTGCATGTTCAAATGTATGGTGTGTGGATAGTTGAATTGTGGCCTGTGTGTTCCTGCAATGCAGGGAGGTGTACTTGGATGGTTTGCGCAGTTCGGTGACAACTGCCCATTCGGTCATTCTCTGCTTCATGTTTGGGCCCACAGGCATATTGTCCCACATGGCAACAAAACGATTGCAGGGTAGTTAGGCAGAAGGAGCATCAGGTAGCCGAACATGCACAGTTCACTTGTGACCGACTTGTTTCATAACTGCTGGTCTGTGGAGCTCTGCGATCGTCTCTGGGTCGTGGCAGGCATTCCTGCCAGCCTTGCAGCAGCTCCTTGGACCCATATTATGTGTCAAGGGTCACAGGGGGTGCATTTTGCTGGTATGACTCCAGACAGGCATCAAGAGAACAGTCACCTATGCTGTGGTATCTTGCACAGGAATCAATGGGAAAAATATTTACCAATTTCATGAAAGTTTGAAAATCGTTCACAGCATGACTAATGTTGCATAGAATGGGCGATGGACGTGGGTCTAATGCAGCAGTGTGATACTGCAGTAAGTTCAAGATGAATTTGTATTGCTAATTCAAGCAAATTGATTCATGGCGCTGTTTTGTATTGCTGACACACTGCTCCATAGCACAATCAGCTGGGGGAGAGTTTCGCTGGCAGATCTGCAAACAACAGCGCCATGGGAGCCATTGCTGCTGCAGGCGTGTAGCATGCAATGTTCTATGCCAAAACACTGCAGAAATCGATGAAAGTACTGGGAGAAACTGCCACTTTATGTGGAAGCATGGCTGCCATCCTACAGATGCCGTGGAAGTCAAATCATCCAGAATTGCTAATCTGGCAGTGCTTGTCAGCACAAAAACCCTGAGCATTGGTGACCTTTGCAGCCCGAGCCACAAGGACAACGCCCTTGCACAGCAACAGGGGGTCAACAACCTTGCAGCTAGTTCAGTATTGCTAGGCTGCCTGAGTTGAGCACCAAGACACATAAATTCGTGTGGACGCATACTTTGTCGATAACGACGCCCTGTTGTGAACACCTTGTACCAGAAGGTCACATCTGCCATATACCAGCCAGGGAAGCTGAGACTTACACTGGATATACTAGTTTTCTTTCCCTAAAGGCACGAACTCAAGCCTGCACTGGTCCTGCCCATTTCCTTTGTTGCAAATTTATAATATCCAGCCATACACCGATGTGACTGGAGAACAGCAGAGCCACAGGGAATCCAACACTGGGAACTACCATTCTCCCACAATCAACACATTTTCTCTGTTAGCCGTGAGTCGCGACAGAGCCCCCAACTTGCGTTGGGCTGTGCAAAAGGATGACAAACGTATGATGGACATCACCTGACATGGGCACAACCTCGCCTTGAAACAGTGCAAGAGAAACGCTGTACAACACAAATGCACTCTTCAATAACTTTACAAAAGGCGACAGAAACCCACACAATCGAAATGACTCATTGCGGGATTCTCCTGAGGCTGATGCCCTCCAAGGCATTATCCTCGCCAATTCGCGATGGCCCCGAGCAAATTCGTGCAACCCCCTCCTTGCACATCTACATCCTCCGTCTGGGCTCACTCCTCCAGTTTCCGCGTGAGTCTCTCCCTAATGACCTTGTCCGGCAGCCCGCACGTCTCCTTCCTGCCGAACAGCCGATACCGGTTGCCCGCCACGACGTCATAGCACCAGTCTCTTGCGAAGGACGGCACCACCAGAAAGCCCGCTGCCAACCAGATGGGAAACGACAATCGGCGAGCAATCCGCAGCACGGCGCTAGACTTGACGTGCGCGCGCTCAGCCTTGCCACTGCGCTCGATCAGCACAATCGTGTTGAGGTCGTTCGGCAGGTTGTGCAGGTCCAGGAGCTGCTGCCCCGCGGGGGACTGCTGCGTCTCGAAGACGAAGGCGCCGTGGGGGTCGTGGCGCGCGACGAAGACCGCAAAGCCGTCGCACAGGACGCACTCGCCGTCGATGAGGACAGTGTGGCGATCGGCCCTCGGCATGGTGCACCAGCGGGGGCTGGCACAACGCCGCTGTGCTGCGTTGGCAAGGGGTTCACACAAATGCGGGGCGGCGCAAAACCGCCAAATAGGGAAACAGGGGAAATGTGTGATGTGACGTGGGAGAATTTACCCCTGCAGCCATGTGCTTGCGCGTGCGCCAACGCGATTTGATCACCTTGGCTGGTTGGTTGATTGACGTTGGGGACTTTGGCCGAGTGGTGCCTTCACGCCTGTCAGCTGTGTAAGGGGCATCTCAGAGGTTTATTGTACATGTTCCTGGAGTGAGGGTGCCGCACAACAGTAAAGTAGTCGAGGTTCTGCGTGGGGATGGGTGGTGGTGAACACAGCAAGGGGTACAGAGTGACTTGGTGTGCATGCTGCTGAGTTGACAGGACCAAGGCTGGGCTGGGCCAACATGACGGCTGGGGGATGACAATTTGCCCTGAGGGACAGCACTCTGAAGTGTGAGATTGGAGATGAGTATTTGCAAGTTGTGGTGCGTCGTTTGAACAGGATCCTGAATGCTCTCATCTACACTGTAAATGCCTTAATTTGTTTCCAACATTGAAATGTGGATGGTGGCACAGGAGCACGCTTTTTTGCAAGGCATCGATGTTGTATTGATGGCAAGGGTTAATCCAGTGTCAACGAGTCAACTGGCATGCTCAACTGCCAAGCAAGAATGGCCTCCCAAAAACCATGCCTATCAAGACAATGGTGCTGTGCGGTACCAACATGAATTGTGGATGGTGGCACACAAGAAGCGTGCATTCTGTGCAAGGCATCGCTGTGAGATGCTGGCAAGGGTCAATCCAGTTGCAATGAATGAACTGGTACACTCAACTGCAATAACAGTACGTCCTCTGGAAAGGGTGGGTGTCAAGACAATGGTGTTGCACGTTATCGATCCACAAACCGCGTTAGCAACTCCACATTCCATTAATTTCCTTGGTGATGAACACCGGTGGATGTGATATGGCACATCTGGATTTGGGATTATGTCTTGTCTAGTGTATCACACTGACACAGTACTCAGCGCTGCTTGGCAGTGAACAGAAACAGAAAGATGAGTGGAACAGCACTTGTGAATGCAAATACTGCACCACAATGCATGGAATGTGGAAGGGCGGTGATTAGACTTGATTAATGCCATATGTGGGGATTTTGACAGTGTGCTGAGCCCCACGTTTCTAACCCTCCCATCAGAAAAGTCCACAGAACAGCAGGTGCACTCTATCCTATTGCGCCTTTTGTTGCATTACAACTTGCCCAAAAAATTCCTGCAGGAGAAGGATGTTCAGAAAATGTGCAACGACACCACAGCCTATTTCCTTTTGTCAAAGCTGCAGAGGCCATGAAGGTCGCCACCAGAATGTACACCAGGAACCAGTCCCAGCAATCCTTTACGGAACCCAAGACCATCGAAACTTGCAAATTAATCCTACTCAGGAAGCTAGATTCCCTTGCACAGGCATCTGCATAGCAGGCGATGTCCAGATGGCCTCACTGAGTCTGTTCCTACTCCCAGAAGAGAAACAACGACTTCTGTACCCTAAACTTGTCTGGAGCTGACTAGAGCACCAATCCTGAACAGCCATCACGTTAAATGAATATCTTGCCTGCTTCCAGCACATCCATGGAATAGCATGGTCTTGCCAATATTGTGATGATGACTGCATCTGTAATAAGTGGCATATCTGTCACTTCACCAAATCCCATTGCCACTCACAAGCAGCACCCTGTCGACTTCTTTGAAACCAATATGCAATTGGCACATCAAATAGCTGGGGAAACAAGTATCCAACCAAAATTGCATATCACCAACAGTGTCGCAAGCCCTTGCATGACTGGCTTGCAAAGCATCATGGTACAAACTGTGAACAGACTCCTTGCCACCGTCCATGTGACACCACCACCAGGAAGTGGGGTGATAGATCACACATGTTTGAACTTGAAGAGTAGACTCCCCGGGGTAACAAGTTGTTGGACAGATGGACAAATGGAAAATCATCCAGCAGCACAACCAGGACTCTGAGCGAGCAGCAAAGCAACTTTCGCTTTGTAGGTGCAGCACACGCGCTCCATATCTTCCAATTGCTCCAGCAGCTGCGAAATCTTGCCTTTTTTGTCATCCATCTGAACAGCAAATGACAAGAATGTCCACCACTTCCACACAAACATTTGCACAGAAATGGTGTACCAGTGTTTGCATGGACCTTGAAGATTGTGCTGGGTCTGAAGTGAGACCCATGAAGGCGCAAACATATGGTGTTGGCGTCTGAATGGCATTGTTTGTATGGTTTTCTGCCTATAATCTGCCTAGTACTTTCATTTTTGGCAGGCTCTGCCATCATACAACTCATCAAGCAAATCAGCACCAGGGCAAGATTTGTTTCTGGCCGGTTAACAGCAATTAGTCCAACATGTCCATACAAGCGACTTGGTATTTTGCAATGTTATTCGACGATTAAAAGACAGTTCCAGACTTCTAATGGGGCAATTTGCTATGGTTTAGGGTGGTTTTCAAAGATTTTCGACCTGTTCTTTTCGATGCTGGCTTAGTTCTCTCTGATGCAGTCCTGGTGCAGTGATGAACCTTCATCACACTGCTATTTACTTAGACAGATGAATAAGCACAAAATTTCTGAGCGACAGTGAGACAACATCACAATGCACAGCAATGCCAGGTGAAAATGAACACAACAACCCAAGCAGAGTTCCTTACCCAAGTTTGCACTTCCATCCGCATCTGTTTGAATTCTAACTCTTGGGGTCTTGAAGATTTGGCTGCCATCGATGTCGCCTCTGCAGGCTCAAAGTGGGTCCATGGAGCCACCTGGAAACAGGTGCAATTGCTGCTTGCTCATCGTGAGTTAGCAGTCGAATAACATCAACGTCACTCAGCATTATGGCACTCCCATTCACAACCTTGGCCTTGGTCCGAACACAACATTACTTGGCCTTGTTCCAAACAAAGTGTCCAAGTCTCAGCAGTCCCAGAATCAGCCAGATAGGTGCCTACAATACATATGTGTGACCTGCATTGCACTTGACCCCGCACAATACCTGACCAGCTGCGCCTGCTTGACCACTGATGGGATTCCCATCGCTGTCCCAATTCTCTATGTGAACCGCTTGCTGCACAGGCTGCAATGGTGTCCTTCTTTGTTCGTTTGCTTTGACTGGTGTGTTTTCCTTGGCATCCTCCTCCAAAGCCTGCTGCCTGCGACGTCCAGTGGACTTGCGGCCACTGCAGAGCCAAAGTGGTCAGCTTCATACCTACATCATTTTCTGTTAAATCATCTACGAACCAAGTTTCTGCAGATGACAGTAGTAAAAGTGTAGAATCACAGCAGTGTGCAGCTGCCCTGCACAGCTGGGATAGGGGACTTGTGTCCAATTGTGACAAATCAATGCTTCATGACAGTCGAGTACTATCAAGCAACCATGGTATTTCTAACAATCAGGCAGGCTTCCTGGCAGCCTAAACAATGTTTGTCCCTAGCCAGCGATGCAGGTCTGCCAAAGTCGAAGGCAGATACCCCCTCTTGTGTCATTTTGCTCGGACTGCATTTGCCACAACTAATGGAGTACTGGACATGCTCCTCGATGCAGTCGATGACCTGCAACTTGCACAGCCTCACAATGGTGGCCTGAATGCCAGCTTCATGTTACATTAACGCCAGAAGCCCAAGATGCCATCGAGAATGGCACTGCTGAGCTTCCTTTAGCAGCAAGAACACAGCCACATGGCTATGTCCAGTTCGGACAGCAGTGGCCCCAGGGACTTCGGAAGATCGGCACAAGGTGACCATTGTAACCTTCAATCTCATAAGAAACATAACAAGGTCACTGGAAAAAATACACAAGCACTTTTGAACTATGTCTCAAAACAAAGTCAACAAGAGTGTGACAGAATGCACAATACAGTGGCTACGAAAATGATGGTAAAATGCATACATGTAAATAAGTTGCTGTTGTAGACAAATTCACACACAGCCAACACTATGGGAAAATACTGCCTGTGCAGGATGCACAGAAGTCCAAGAACGCGATTGGGGTCATCACACCTTGCAGAATTCTTTGCCGCTCTGTTCGACCTATCCGATTTGATCATCTGATTCCGTGGTGTTTCTGCCCCAATCATGACAGAATCCTTCGCTACCGCATTTATAGCTGAGTCTTGGCTTGTATTGGACACTGCCAGCATCGTCAACGGTGGTACTGCAGCCTGTCAATATCAGCATGGCTCAGGAACTATGGTTGTGAATGTGTACGTGATATTGTAATGCAAGGACATCGCTTCAAAGAATTGTCCATTTTGCAAAATGGCAGAGTTTGTGCTTCATGTACGTTGCCACCTCAAACACTGTCAAGGACAAGAGGGCTGCACAGCTATTCTCAAAGGCCCTCACGCCGGTAATGCAAGGTTTGGCTTTGCACTCAAGCAAAGGGCTTCATTGAGGGGGCTGTGTGTGCTGCAAGAGCTCATGCTCCAAAGAAGATGCAAAAAACGCACTTCCAGTTTGAAAGCAGTCCCTGAAACCAGGTTACCATTAAGTTATCGATTGGACATCCCAGGTAGTCACCTACGTTTGAGCCGTAGATTGTCACTGTGGTTATAGACATAGTTTTGCTTTCTTTGAAATTCCTACACAAGTTCGTTTGTCTGGAATTCATTTAGTTCTTGCGCAAAGCCTCTTGTAATCTGTTCAGTAAGAAGCTTGGGGATTCAGTCCACTTTAATTTCCAGTCTGGCTGGACGCCATTGAATTTGGTGTGCTGTGTTGCAGCCTGCTGACAGACCAAGACCTTGATAAAAAGGAGCTGATTATGACAACCAAAATCAATCCTAGCCAAATCTAGCAATCCCCAATTAAACCGAAACAGACAACATCGTCATTCTACACCTTCAACTGGTCTGGTGTGGCCTTGCACTCTCCAGCATTCTCAGCCTTTAAAGTTCGAATGACCTCCAAGAGCTCTTTCTCATGCCTTTGCAGGTGCTCGATTTGTTCGTTCCTCTCATCAAGTTCCTTCTTCAACTGAGCGATCTGCTGTTTCAGCTGCGCATGACCTTCCCGTGCTTTCTGTGTCTCCGCTGCTCTTGCCGCCTGGTTACCACAATGGGTGCAGCACATCACATCCAAGCAACTGCGATATGTGAACACAATTTTCGTGTTTTGGTAGTCCCCACAGTCTTTCATGCATATTCAGGTTAATACAGCCAATTGCACTAAACACAGAGCACCTCACCTTTGCATAAATCGCTAACATCCGGTCATTGATATGTGTCTGAAGAGCACAGCAGATGTCTTCTCCTTGGGCCGTTTCAAAATGGAAGAGGCACAACATGCCAGCCAGCTTGACCTTGAAAAACACGGCCTGGCTGCTGGCACCAAACTCAACAATCTCTGACAGTTCTGCAGAGTGGAGGTGATCTCTGGGAGAGCGTCGGAAGAAATGGATCCCATGTTTGTTGACAGAAATAACTAGTTTGAGGGGAAGTGTACCCATGGGGTCCTCCAGGCGCAGCACAGGAAAGAAAGCTGAGTTTCCTGCAGAGTGGACAGTGTGTTTGTTCAAAATAGGGCATGCTACGTTGGATGCCATTGCCTACACCCCACTGATCAAAGTTTTGTGTGCCTTTCTATAGAAATCAATGCAGAATTCTCCCACCGCAACAGGAGCAACTCGCAACACACAGCAAGATGAGCGGGGAGGACACATCCATGAATAAACTGACAAAGGACATAAAGGGACAGTGCTGCAGCAAGTGTTGCACATTTCTTGTTGGTTGAAGTTGAAGGTGAATAAACAAATGTGGATAAAGTGATGCTATCAACAGGGACGACTGGATGACTCATGGGGACAAGAGGGAATCGGACACTCACCATATGTCAGTTGCCCCAAAGAACGATGAAATTGCAGCCTGGCGTCATCTTTTGAAAATTGGCTCAGTGCTTCATGTCTCTGCCGGACTTCACGATACCAGTACTGCTTTGAGCATTTTGAGAATACCTGAGCAAAATGGTGCAAATCAGCACTATGTGCTTCCAAGTTGTGTGTACAAAGCAAAAGCAACTATGCATCTCTAATACACCAGGCTCACAGGGGTCTATTGCACAGTTGGGCTGATTCACTGCAGAGCACCCCTGCACAACCCACACAGCAACAGCGGCAGCAGCAGCACAGTTGCTGCTTATGACGAAAACTGCATATGAAAATGCAATCATTGCCAACAATTTGCATGGATGCTGGTTGGACATGATTATTGCGCCCAAGAACCATTACTGCAGTTTATTGGCCTTCTTCATGAGAAGCAAATATTAGTCAGGCAGAGCACCACCATGGTCCAACTCACAGCTGTCCCCTGCTGTGGCTCTGCCAAAACCAAATTCGCTTGCTCGTTGTGTGCGCCCACACAAATGCAAGAAACAATACTGTTACTGTGATACAGAAGAAATCACTCCTTGGGCAAATCCACCTTGAGTCCCCACCATCACTCACGGCTCCTGTGGATGCATTTACCATCACTCACGGCTCCTGTGGATGCTTTTACCATCACAGGGCAAGCGTGCCATTTGCACTGCACATATGACAATAGGAAATTCTACATACAATACGTTTATCTTCTCCCCAACTGGGCATAACTTCAACCTTATTTCTTTACACCTGTTTGGGGATGTAGAGGTCGATGGCCTGTGCGATGTCTGTCTCCTTCTGTGCCCTGGTGTCGCCTTCGGCCTGAATTTGAAGGGCACACAGCTGGGCTGCATCCTCGACAGCCACAGGGTAGTTGCCAAGGAGATACTCATACTGCATCTGGATGTACATGAGATGGACAAACCTTGGCTCCATGATGCCCTCATCGGCTTTCCTGCAAGGACCTCACACTCAAGCTTTGAATAGACTATTGGGTATGTGTTTTATCTTTAATGCCAAAGTGCTGCCCATTGTGCAGCTGTAGGAAGCGATGGAGTACTGGGCAATAAGCAACCATTTGTGGCAACATAGTACTCCGCAGGTGTCCTTGCTTGAGGTAGTTTTGTACTTGCCTGCTCAATCCAAGCAAAATTAATCACCAGAAGTTAAAGGGAAGGCAGCGATGGTTGGGACCAGGGCAAATCAATGGCAAGAGCCACACGTTGGAAACCCGGCATTGTTGCCTTGAATAGGAGTGGTTTTTCATCTCTTCATGGATGCAAGCAAAAGATTGGCAACAAGATATGCAAGAGACTGCCACCTGCTTCATGAGAAGGCTGCTGTGGTTCCCTTCCTCGATTTGGAGACATCTTTCCATCCTCGATGGTAATCCTATTTCATATTTTCTACATTTCCCTTTTTCCAATGCATATTCCAATTGGAAAAACAAAGCAAACTACTGAGACAACATCAGTTCGATTGCATTTGCCAGAACAGGACACAACAAGACATCGTGAGAAGCCCACCTGAAGATCCTCTTCTTCATGAGCAGCTTGCTGTGGGCTCCCTCCCTTGACTTGGCCTCCCCAAAGCTGTGCAGAACGTCAGCCACATACCAGTCACTGTCTAACAATCGATGCTGCACATCAGGCTGCCTGTGCTGGCCCTTGGGCAGCCGTCGGCACTCAAACAGGCTAAAATCAGCAGTGGCAGGGAGTTTCAGTGATGCAGACAGCTGGTCTAGGGCTTCCTGCACCGTTGTATTCATAGTGAATTCCAGCTCCTCAAAGGTGTCGTCCAGCAGAAAGACCACACAGCTGAGGGTCTGGCCTGCCAGATGGGCCTCGATCTCCTCAGATGACGGTCTCTGGATGCACACACAACAGGCTACCTTTGGCAAATTGTGTTTGAAATCGTAGAAGAAAAAACTGTACAGATCTTTTAAATGTACAGATCTTTTAGGAGAAAAGCAGTGGTCAAATTTCCTTTGAATGCGATGTGCCTGACAATGGATCCGTGGTGAATGGAGCAACAGGGTGCTAAGAATCGACAAGTTCTGTCAGAATATCTATATTTTGTGGAAGGCAATCAATCAAACTCAGCATACATTCTGCAAAGAGACCATCCTTTAATGCTCACCTTTGTTCGTGCGCCGGTCTTTGTTGTTCGCTTCAATGCATTCAGTGTCCTGAACATCAGTTCGCTGACAGCAGCATCTTCATGCCGTTGGGTGGAATGGACATGAACATGCTCAGAGACAAGGCCCACAAATTCCTGTAGCAGACCATGGCAGCAGTCTTCTTGTTGTGCATTGATACTGTAATCAACAAGATCTGATCACTGAATCAACAAACGCTCTCTCTGGATGCTGCAAAGACACCGCAAACAACTTTCTTCACAAAACTGTAGCAACAAGTGCGTTTTGTATTGCTCACAACGTTTCAGAGCAGGCAGCAGGCAGCAGGCAATGCACAGGACACGGCTGTTGTGGGCATATTGGTGTGTTAGTTGGTTCCAGTTTGAGCACGCATTCCCTTGAAGCCTTGCTGATTTGGGCTTGATTTTCAAGGTTCGCGGCACAAAATTTGCAGCGTTGTATGTTGTGCATAGTTTTGCCTAATGTTGTTCGTTTCATCGCAGTTGGTCACCCTCACCTTCCACTTGTCCCTTAGCATTAGCAGGGATGATGTTCACCTCAGGGGCTTGCAGGTTCTGGATGTATTGCAGATTTACTTGGGCAACATTGCCAAGCCAACGCCACTGAATGAAGAGCCTTCGCTGGAAAGCAATGGGGAGCAACAGTGCTGCAGCTGGGCACAGCCTGCACCTCGATCGTCCCAATAATTTGCAGATCCCGGTAGCAGATCTGTGCTTACCTTTGATGGTGGCATGGTTGAGGCCACGATACTGAACAACTCCCATACTCTGCGCCTGCCTTCCACTGTGGGGTTCCTTCGTGTCTGCCTTATCAGTTGCATGTACAGCTCGTCCCGTAGCTCTGTGGATGTGAGTCCCTCATGCAGCAAGCCCTCCAAGATCTCCACTTGCTGGTCCCCTGGCAGGTGCTCCACTCCAATAGCCATGTACTTTAGGATGGCACAGAACATCTCTGTGGCATGCGCAGTGGATTCTTCACTGTGCAGCTTCAACAGTGACGTGGTGATTGGGTCCTGTGCAATGGCATAGGTAAGATTGAATTTGCAACAAGGATGCCGAATTGTCTGCAGGTAGCATGGACACATAACAGCAACAAGCATGACACACTGAAACTCTTGCAATAAACCAAGGAATACTCCGCTTAAGGAAGACAAGTAGTGCTGATCGAAAGTACTGTAGTATATTCAACCCTTCGGCAGCAAAAATGTTCCATTACTCTATTTGCTCCTTATTGTTTTTCAGAGAGTGTTATTTTTGTTTTTTTAACGTTGCTCCATAATAAGATTTTGCTAAAAGGGCGTTATTTATTTTGTTGTTTTCTCTGCAATAATGGGCCAAGCGCTACATTCCTATGTGAAACAGTTGAATATACCACAGTGCTGGGATATAAAGGAGAGCATATGAAGGAGATCATTCAATCATTTCCACTGGCAAGGTTTCTGGATCAAGAGTTCCAGCATAGCGATTCTGCCCTCAACTGACTGTTGCCAACATGAACTTCCTGTATATGACAGTCTTGTTTAGAAATTTCTCACCGGTGAGTAGTGGAGGGCATCGAAACGAGAAGTCTGCAGCAAAACAAAGCCAAAATATCATGCAACGCTCTGACATTTGGACAAAAACCAGAGAGCAGCGTACATTGTTTTGCAAACATTTCTTGATAACAGCTTGATTTTCCCATGCAGCAAATGGCAATTAATCAAGCACGTTTGAACACAACAAGTGAGCTCCATGCACATATAGCGGTTGCAAGAATCCAAGAAAGAAGCTGATCTGCACAACAGTTCATTTTCTGGTAAGAGATACTGGCAAGACATGCACAAGATGTGCACACAGTACAACCATGATGAGAACAGGTGGCTACATAATCGCCATTTTGGGGACCAAGCTCACTCAACAGATGAAAGACTGTCAACCACACTCACACAATACATGTGCACTCTGATATGAGGGACTTTTCCAGGAAAGCATTGTTTCCAAGAACTTTGGAGAATGTACCAAATAATCTTGCCAAAACAAACAGACATTCAGGAAAGCATCTACAGCAGAATTTTTTCCTTCCAGCGAAATATCCCAAGCGAGAATATGTGCGTGTGCACCCATTTGTAAATGGCCATGAGAGACCCCATGTTGATGAAACAACAATGTGCTGAGAGCTAGCAGCAAACAAATAGTTGCTGTAGTGCTAGGGTCGAGTGTACACAAATTAATCTGTCTGGGTGTTGGTTTTACGCCAATTTATTTGGTGTTAATAGGGCACTGAACAGCCATTGCCTGCAGTGCCAAAACACTTGTGGCTGCATCGCCTGTTATTTCTCTGCATGGACCAATTGTTCCTTGAGACTCGATCGCATTGCCCTGACTCACCCGAGGAACAATTGACAACGTAAATTTCGTGCAAAGTAGAAAGCACATTACTCCCATCTTGCATTTTGGATGCTGGACTTTGATCTTCGATTGCCATCTGGGTTTAGAGACGAAGATGGCTTTGGGCATAGTTCTGAGTTTGCAAGAAATGCCCGTTGTGAAGGTGAATGCACAAGGGCATTGCCTCACCATGCTGACAACTTGATGAGAACGAAATCATGGCACACAATAAGACAACCTGGCTGCCAGACAGTTGGCACACATAATGACAACAATAGAGCAATGGTAGCGAAAATGGCAACACAGAACAAAATCGAATGCGGATGCAGCCAAGCAGCAGCAGCAGCTGATAAAGTCCTTTACTGCAGATGGCACGCACAAATTATCCAGCAAAAAGCTCTTATCCTTCAATGCTGCGACCGTAGTATTGTCACATCTGTCATTAGCTGCATACCTGCAGGCTGGTCATGTCTGCCATACTTCTTGTGTCAAGGCATGGCGCCATGAGAGTGTTCTCAATCAAATCGAAAGCAAGTTGTGCAGTCTGCAGCACACGCACGAGGCAAAGTACTTCACAGCTTGTCCAGGACAAAATATTGATAAAATGTGGCAAACTTCGCAGTTTGATATCGATCAACTTTGCCAACATGCTACAGCCTTACCAAATGCAGCTATAGGGCACCATCAACGAATATGGGGCCCATGGGTCATGGATCAAGCAAGAAATTGGATAATCAAGAGCAGAGCTTCCAGCCGCTGCGTGCTACAGCATGGGGCCAGGGGCATCGAGAACTTAAAAATGAGGTTGTGTACGGTCATGGGCGAGGAACCCCTTCCCCCGAACGATCCGCAGATATCAGTAGCGCCGGAAATTCATGTCGACACAAAGAACTGCGCTACCATCGAGGGCGTTTCCCAGGCCTCACGAGGTACTGAACTTTGCATTTCGGAGCTGCGGCGCTTCGAACCCTGGCTACGAGACTGACAATGGAAAGACGTCAGCGGGCACCGTTCCGCACAAAAGAGTGCCTCTTCCAGGCCATGCTTTTCCTGGGCAATGGCCAGGAACGATGCATTTGTGTAGCTTGGAATACCTCAGTGCGAGTTGCATTCCCATACCAGCTGCACAGAGATACAGCCGCGCAAACAGCGGCATTGGATCGCATCCGCACTCCCTTTTTCGCACAAGAAAGGGTGCTATGCTTTCCCATGCCATGTGGCTCCCCTGAAGCGGCCAGAAACAACGCAATCGGGGGTCGGAATGCGTCAAAGCGAGTCCGCACGCTGACGAGGCTCTGCTGACTCGCGTTGACGACCCAGACACGCTCGAGAAAGCAGGGCCCGAGCGGCGGCGATCCTACCCATGAAAATTGAGCAGCGTTTCTCAAAAATTACAAGGATGCCTCCAGACGCGAGGGTCTTCAGCGGCGCAAACGCCAGTCAGCCGTGTGGGTAGCTCTGTAGTAAATGCCCATCTCTGCTGCCGTTCGCCGATCACCGGGAGACGACGCGATTGGTGAACAATGCGAGAACCGACCTGTCAATAGGCTACCACAGATGGCCTAGGTGGTGATGCACGCAGTTTGTCGCGGCGGGCCACCTCTCCGCAGCCGTTCCGTAACGCCAAGCGGCTCAGGTTTGGGTCAGGATCCGGTTGCGACGAGTGTGGACCACTGCAAAGCGCGGGCTAATGGACGCCCGACAATCTGGCACTGTGGTGACGCAGGCCTCGCGCAATAGCTGGCAGGCATTCAAACGACTGGGTGTACAGGGCAGGGCTGTTAAAGTACAGGGTTCCTATCCCCCCTCAACTTTGAAGTGCTGAAGTATTGCCAAACCTGCGCTCCTGCGGAGTTGCTCAGCGGCGCGTGAGTTTCTCCGACCCGGAATCGCTGAACCCACCTCACGACGGAACCGGGGCCTGGCTGCTGAAATGGGGACCGCCGACGTCTAAGTCTTTGAGAGGACTCATAAATCGATTCGTTGCTGCCGGGGTGCGCTGCTCGTGTGTTGCCTGGCCTGCCGCCAGGGATGGTGTCCCTAGGCGGTTTCCGAATGGCGGAGGACGAGGGTGCGTCTCAGCCATTGCTGGTTGATTGCGAGACTGGGGAGGCGGTTTTGGGGATCGGAGCCGCTGGAGCAGGCAGGGAGCGACGAATCGGGGGCTCCTCGCGACAGGGGACATCTAGCCCGGATGGCATGGGCGTGAGGTGGGAGGCGCCCTCGCGGGTTGCTAGCCGCACGCTGCAAGGAACTTAATGGTTTGCCGTTGTCGGCATTTTGGGAGATTCGAACGCGGAGTTTGTAAGGTGCCGGAGGTGCCAGTCCGTGCATCTGTTTTCGCCCGGCACTGCTGCGATGTTTCGTGAATTAGGGAGCCCTTGTGGAGCGAACCAGCGCCGGGGGATGCTAGCCGCGGACATTAGCCCAGCGGTACCGGTGTAACATTGTCTAGGATGTGAGAGGTGCTCGCGTTGCTGAGCGCTAACCTGAGAGGAGCTAAGCATGCATGCCTGACGCTGGCCCACTCGCTATGTTCCCACCGAGAATCGGATGGAGAGCGCGGTAGAATGGACTTAGCCGCTTGGGAACGTCAGTGGCGCTCTCTACACGCTCGATCACGCGCATTTGTGCGTAGAATGTACAGATTGTTGGAGCCGAAGAGGTAATGGGGATTCATCAGCCAGGCAATCCATGCAACTACCGTTCAGATTCATCTGTGCAATCCAGCCCCGTCCGGCCTCAAGAGAATCTCGGGGGGCCAGGCGGTGGTACAGGGGCGGCCACGTGAGTCTTTTCCTAGTTCATGCATGCTTATGGCTAACATCTTCGTTGGCAATGTCTCTTGCTGATTGTTGGTTTCGAAATTTCTGTTGTGGTTTGTTGGCCGTCCTTGCCACCACAACCCTGAAGACCCTGCGCAGGTCGCCAGGCGCCGCAAAAAATGTTGTTCTTGCTGTCAACAAGATAGTATTGGGCCCTCGTTTGCATCATCATATGCTTCAGCGTGGACATATCAGAGTAGCGATTCTTGGGAGCTGGAATGAAAGGCACCTCTGCTAAAAGAAAGGCAACCCTGCTTTGGCCACATTTGCCAAAAGAGACAAAACACAATCAAGGGACTGACAGATTAGTTTCAGGCCCTGATAGACCTGTGCCTGACAGTTATGGTGGGTGCCAGTTTAATTCCCCTTGAATCGCTGGCGTCTTATTGCTGAGCTGGCAATTGGAAACAAGGTCAAGTTTCCTTCGGCAGCTCCTTCACAGGCCATGTGGCAAATAGGCAATCTTGAACAAAAAACATGTTGAAGTTGATGTGTGTGGTGATCTCTAGCCAGATACCACTGCGACCTGAAGGACGACAGTGCCGGTTGAGTCAGAAAGGGGGTCCCAAATATTCTTGCCCTCGCTGTAAAATAGTATTGTGATCTTGATTTTGTTGCATCCTTTTCTATTTATTTATTTTGCTTATGCGATGCGATGTATTACTTCACTATGCTTTCCTTGCAACACACTGTCACCAAGGCCATGGTCAATCGCTTTTCACCTATGGCCCTCCTCTGTTGCTCTGGTTCACGTTCTTTTGTCCTGGGGGAAAAGAGGCAATTAGCACATCGATTTAGTATGAATTTTTCCCAGATGGGAGCTCATAACAATCTACACTGTCACCAATGTCAGACATATCACGCACAGTTGTGCACAGTGCATACTACACACCCTGGTCTCGTATCTCTTTTGCCTGAATATGCTCCCCTGTTCTCACTGGCCCATGTGCAGTGACCATTGCTGTCTCAACGTCATCTGAGAATATTGCTGACGAATTTTCACAGCCTTGACTTCACCAATAGCACAGTGACAGTGTCATTCTCTTTCTCCCTACAAGGTCACATCTTTGCGAATACTTATTTTGAATCGTCTTCAAGTAGATCACAGAGATTTACCCACCCACTCACCCCTACGCTATGTTTGATTTGAAACTCCAGTGATGCCTTGCGCAGGTTGCGGGTGTGCACCAACTTGAATGTTGATGTCTCGCCCAGACCCATGCACCTAGCAACGTTGATGCCCACTGGCCTTTTTGTACCCTTCCTATCCCAATTTACTATTTTACCATCCCATCACCATACCCCCTTCTTTCTGGTCGGTCAATCCAGGAGGCGGTCTTCCGACACCCTGATTTTCATGCCTTTCAAAATGATCCCCTGACACCCCACGTTCTTGGTTAGAACCTCACTTGGAACTGTATTGGGGTATAGTGACTGTACTGGGGCATGGCTCCTAACGGCTCCCCTAACTACCCTCCGCTGTGTTGAACATCAGCATGGGTGTCAAGAACACGGGGGGCTACTACCCTCCCCCTACCCTCCCTTGAATGGTCACATTGACTGGCAAAGAGCATCAACACCTGATCAGTTAAATGTATCGCACACCAATCTAGACTATGATGCCAATCACAACAAAAGTAGTGGGATGTTGCAGCAGCATTTGTGCGACGTTTGCATTGCTTCAAAACAGCAGCCCAACACAGTCCCACACTGTCTGGCATACTCCCTTTGTTACTTACCCCTTTGCTCCACAGCAGTGGCCAAGCTTGATAACCTCCTCCCCCCTCCCCTCCTGCTGTGCGACACCTCTTGCGCATCCTTCACGATCAACAGTATTCTCTTTGCAACAGTTCACTGTGATCTGTGCACCACATCCCAAAATCCACCACCAGAAAATGATTCTCTGCAACTTGCTGTTGTGCATGGCACAGCCATTGGCCAGGACTCTCTGGCTCCCAGGGGTCCTTTGACCATATTTTGATGTTGCTGTCACCTTTTACTATTTGACACTGTCTCAGCGCTTTATTCAATATGGACTTGTGACTTGACCACTGTTTTTGCTGTGGGTGCAGCGAAATATTCGTTCATCGTGTAGCTCTGAGACATTTTGTGCATTCTTAAAGGTGGTCATGGGAGGTGGTGTGCAAGCTCTTTGGTCTGGTGGTCCTATGCTGGCTGCTGGTCTTCTCATTGTCAGAGCTGGTGAGTAGGATGGGCCAGTCACCACAAAGCCACAGCACCAACCTGGGTGTGCCGACGCTCGTGAGCCTCTTTGTGCTGCTACTAGCGCTGTGGTACCTTCGGCGGGGGCCGGCTGTGCCGGATGCTGTGGGTCCCACAGAGCGCAGTCTGTTCACGGGGGCAGGGAGGTCGCTGGGGATCGAGGTCTGGAGGATTCAAGACTTCGTGCCTGTTCTGGTGCCCCAGGCAGATGTGGGGAAGTTTGCAAAAGGTGAACATGCAATTGATGTTGCAGATGAGGAGCTGGCTTTGCGGCAACCTGTTGCTCAGAATGGGAAAACACAAGCCCTTACCTTTGACCATGGATATTGGATATTATTGGGTGCCAGTTGCTGATTGGATTGCATGAAATGTCAATACTGGAGAATGCTCTGTCTCCACCCGGTGGTGATAAATCTGAATACAAGGTCATTATGTGATATACACCCCTGAACTAAGTCAGTTTTCCACGCCTGAGCCAACAGAAAGAATGGATAAGGAATAGACAAGCTCCCGCTGTGATGGATTTGATGGTGATTATGCGTACATCTGGGGAACTGAAGCACTGTATGTTGCACATCTCTGTCCCTGGCTTTGAAAATGGCGACTGCTGTTTGTGATCGAACCATCAACCAGCTGCACATTTTGCTGTTCCACGCTTTTTCATGTGCTACCATATTTACCCGGTATCAGTATCCACCTCCCTTCCTCTGGGGTTCTGATTCATGTTAGTAACCATGACCCAATGTTAGTACACCCCCAAGTCTCAACAGAAACGAGATCGAGGGGCCTCATTGGAGTCGCCTCAAGGGGAGGAAAGTAGTTTGCACGTTTTGCTTGCAGAGCACTCTTGTTGCATGCCCTCAACAAGCAACAACTGCCGCAAAGTGACCACCCTGCAGTGCCGATGCGCTGCGGGTGATGGTTGCATGCCTCACAGCTTGCGCAGCAGCCTGATTTGTTTCTTGTCGAGCAACTACAGGCCACGTGCCCATGGCACACAGATAGGCCCAGAGTCGTCTGAAAACATTCCTTGTTCCTGTCACAATTCTTTCTATGCCGAACACCTCTGCGGCAGCCACACAGGCTCCCGCCGCACCCAGGAGCTTAGCAGCGATTGCAAAGTGCATCCTGCCACTTCAACTGTGTGCAGCATGGCCTATTACCCGCATGCGTTTCTATTCAGTGCATTTTGCGTTATTTCAAGTCTGTTTGGGGATATTTCATGGCGTGATGTTCACAAACTCTCACTGAATATTGCTTGGATCAGGGGTCTAAACTACGTTAGTATCCATGTTCATTTTGGAGGTCCAGTATGCGTACGCTAACACCGGGTAAATACAGTATCACCTTGCAAGAAGACCAGCAGCTGCACTGCACATTGGTACAATGGCAGTTGGTATGTGCTGCAGAGTCCTGCAGGTTGCACACAACCCACCCAGAAAACCATTTGTGAAGTTGCAAGCTTTTTGCAACTCGATTTTGCAGTCATGTCAGAGGATCATGCCTCTTGTATGAGCAGACACGTCATGATCAGACACGTCATTAGACAATTGATAACAGGTCAACGTCAAACTGATGTGGGACTGAGGTATGGCTACAGCAGACAAAGGTTGCTAACCTACCTATTGTGCAAGGCGGCAAAAGTGTTTCCCCTCAGGTGAACTGACAATGCTTTGTGTGCCTATGAATATCGCAGGCGATGCATACATAGTTCTGCACACATACCTCCGCTTCAATGAAAAGGCATATAAACTGCACTTCTGGATTGGCAGCCAGAGCAGTCAGGTGGGCAAGGTCGCAGTCTCTTGGTGATGTGCATTTTTCTGGCCCTCAGTAAGTGCTGAATTTAGGCAGATTGTGTGAGCCATTCATGCGCATTCGGGCAGCATACAATTCACATGCGAAGTGATACATCCTTCATGCAGGTGCAGAAGGACAGCATACACAATTGGCAGTACTAAAACTGCAACCACTGCAGCCAGTCTGTGGCAGCAAAACTCTCATGTTCCTAATAGTATCTGAGAATGGACAAACAGGACAATATGAGGTGGTGCACCGTGCTAATTTGCAAATTTTGCTTTTCAGTTTTTTCAGCCATTTTTCAGCAGCGAGATGTTTAGTTGACATTTTGGCAGACTCCTTGGCAACATGGGCAATGGTTGATAATGATGGACTGTTCCTATGAAATAGCTCCCTGTTGACGTTTCTTGTGCACAAAACAGTTGTTGTTGTTGTTGAGGCTAACGCTAGGATGGCAGGGCAGTGTGGGTCAACGAGATTTTTGTAGTATTAATGCCACAAAGTCATCACCACTAGTGCCGATGGTGTTTTGTGGCTGCCTTTTGGAGACACTGGCTGTCAACTGCTTGGCACCACGATGATTGGATATGCTCTGTCACCACGCCATCTCTTTGCATTGTTCGATGACTGACTCTGGCCCCCATGAATGGCTGTCCATGTGCATGATTACTCCATGCAAGTGTACCAATCCTCTGTTGTCAAGATGCAGGCGCAACATAGACTGGCAGGAAGAAGGCAATTATTGGCAGATGTTCCAAAGCACTGTTTGTCTCGTGTTGTGCTTGCACCCTCTGACAGCACACCTAAGAAACAGGCAGTGCTTTGTCGTGCACATCGCACTAGTTCAGAGCCAAAAAAGATTGGAACAGGATATTGAAGGATTTTGAGTGCTTTACTGGTGAGCTTGTCATTCGTGCTACTTGTCGTTGCTGATGTGCAGCTTGGGCGATCTGCCTGCAGGATGAGGCTGGCAGTGCTGCGATCCTTTCATCCCAACTGCAGAAAGAACTGGGCAGTACGTTCACACTGTACAGGGAACTGGAAGGGGAAGAGTCATCGGCATTTTTGGAGGTGCATTTGCTGATATGCTGATGATCTGGATGCTCAACAGTTCTTGATGTCTTGTCTCTGTCCCTTGCTGGTTGATCTGCTCTGTGTCAAAAACCTGCAGTTTTGTCCGTGCGCCTTTTGACAATTGCATGTTGTGGACTTGCCCATGTGGTGCACCGTGTATATTAGTTAGACGATTCTCCCTTGCAGCCAGCTGTTGAGTGGTTGCTGAAAATCGTGAGTGCTTGGAGCAGTCCCTTGAGCTCCAGCTGAAGAATTGAGTGACTTGCTTTAGCTGGTTTCAATTTCGAACCACTATGGTTGCACCTATTAACATGGCGGAGCATTGCCTTTCATCTGTTTGGCGATCTTGGGCACTGTTCCCAAACACATGTGGTGTTCCCCAACAGATTGTTAGCCTGGGCTGCTTACCAGACAGCCTGCAACTTGCTGAAATATGCATGGGCCTGAGCTTCCAGTCCTGGACCCACTGCTTGCCTGCCTTGACTTGCAGGTGCAAGGGTCGTTTAATCACATTTTCCTTGGTAGTCAAGTTGGTTGTGTATCTCTCTTCATGGTTGCAGCTATTTCCACGAGGTCTGCGCTACTCCACCTCAACAAACCACCGCTCTGGCTTTGTGCCTGTTCAACCAGAGCCTGAAGCCCCCAAGGCCAAGATGTTCCAGATTAATGGCGGCACAACTGTGCACGTTGCGGAGGTGCCCCTGTGCCTCAATTCCCTCAACAATAGCGACTGCTTTCTGTTGGACGATGGGCAGAGGTTGTACCAGTGGAGCGGCCAGCATGCAACACGGGCAGCCAAGTCCAAGGCGTTTGACATGACACTGTCAATCAAAGATGACCGCCGGCAGAAAATACAGGTGACCCTTGGCTGCCATTGGGGTTGTATTGCTACATGTGGAATGCATCCTTACTCACAACAAGGCAGAACTTGGCTGCCATACAATACGCTGTTGATGAGGACCGACAGGAAGAGACATTATTGGATTCCAATGGTCTACCTCATGGACTTTTCCCTCAGGCACATGACCCTCACATTAAAGTCGAATAGTCACTTCTATTGGTTCGATGACACCAGGGGCTGTGGCCGCACGATATATATGATTCAGATTGCCCAAACAATAGAAAGAGAATGTGACATGTTCACCAGTGTAGTGACCAATGAGTGTTGTCAGACTCCTTTCCATCCTGCACATGATGCAGAAAGGGTGAATTTATCCTGGAGATTCCTTTTTATTACTGTCTGGTATGTTATGTGATGCACGTTGCCCATCGCATATGACCAATTTTACTTCATGCCTTGATCTAGAGACGTTTGTCTCTGTCCTGAAAGATGCGTGGGCCTCACACGTGCAGTTGATGAGCTCTCTAGGTGCTGTTTTGTCTGAATAAAGTCCTGTGCTTCATTAGCCATGTAGGAAGCGAATAGTTTCTCTCAGCTCCCAGTGACTGATTTAACGCAAAGCCTTGGTGGTTTGCCTGAAACTGGGACAAAGGGAGGCTGATGTGTTAAGAGTCAACAGGCTGCAGAAGCTAAACACTGGCAAACATGGCACCGCTTGCATATCCGTGAGTGCTGAAAAGTATGCGATGTGCGCAATTGGGACTACTTGACGAATACCACGTTTCCTGGAAGGGTGATCTTAGTGGTCTTGAGTGACAAGTGTCCCCTGGCCCCTTTCGGGCGATTGCAGATGCAGCTGATAGCAGGGGTGATTTTTTTGCATGGCAGTGTGGATTTAGGTGATTGTGCTGGACCCTGGCGACATGGAAAGTGAAGATGCCAAGGAATTCTTTGGAAAACTGGGCTGTGAGGACATGGCGGCTGTGCGGATCCCCGACACCATAATGGATGAACAGATATCGGCCCGCTTCTCACCCCCAGTGCTGTATGAGGTATGAACTTCTGCGATATGGTGTGGCCTTAACAGTTGCCCCAAGCAAACCTAGCATTGTCCCTTCCCAGCGGGCCAGGTCTCTTGCCACATGCTGCTTTCTCCAGTGTTGCTCTCCCCTCAACCACTGACAAAAGCCTCATTGAGCAGATTGAAACAGTATGTTCATTTTACTTGCAGATGCATGCAAATAGTGAGGAAACATCCCCTCCTCTGTGAAGTTGTCCAAAACCTGCAGGCAAAATTTGCAATTGCAGTCGAAAGTCGCCATTTGTTGCAGTTGTCCAGGCAAGAACCTCAGCTGTTAGGATGTGAAGACAGATGGAAATCAGCAGCAGTTGGGCAGTGTCCATGAAAGTTGCTTCCGCACAGCTCGCAGTCAGTCGTCGATTTTATGCTAACCAAGAGCAATAATGTGGCTAAACCAAGCAACATTTTCTGTATATCTTGCAGCAACTTGCACACCATGACACGATCCATCGGCCTTGGTTTGTGCTGCAGGCAGGCGATGGTATGTTTGTGGAGGTTGCAAGGGATCGCCTGAGGCATGACATGCTCCGCCATGATGCGGTGTTTATTGTCCAGTCTGGGGAATCTGTGTTCCTGTGGGTGGGACGAAATGTGACAAAGTTGAAAAGGTCACAGGCTGCAACTGTCACTGCATCAAAGTTCCTGGATTGGAGGAGCATGGACAAGCAGCAGATTGTGAAGGTTTGTTTGTTGCTTTCAATAAATCAGTGTTCCAACTATGCCAGGTTGCTCCATCGACAGCCTTCCCACATGGATCGTTGTATTGTAAGCATCAAGATTGCACCCCACCAGCCTTGATCACATTATCTCTCATCATCGGAAGCAGTTCCGCAGGTGCCTGCCGTATACTGCCCCTTCCGGTCCTGTTATTCTGTCCCACTCTGATGTATTATCAGCCTCATTTCAGAACTGCCTTATTGTAGCCACAGATTCAGGGCATGCTATGAAAAATGTTCAATCGACAAGTCTGGCAGAAGAAGGTGCCAGAAACATGGTGCACATTTTTGCACTGACAGTCCACAGTGGTGGCAAGGGTGTTGAGGCACGAAGTTGAGGCAATGATCTTTGTATTTGACATTGCATAATTCAAAACTGGTTTGTTAGAGCTACAGACAGAATAACGGAGAACCGACAGAAAAGCAAGCAATGGACTAGAGCACTTGCTGTGCAATGTGATGTGGTGCAGTTCAATTTGTTGATGTCATAGATAATGCAGTATTTGTATTCTGAATATTGGTGGAATGACAGGATTATTATTGATTGGTCGCGATATAGTGCACAATGTGACTTGATGCAATGGAGCACTAAGTGACATACATGTCATTTCTCTTCAGTTAATAGGCATTGCATGGAACATCCCCTTGAATTGACCGTGACCAATCTCTTGCATCAGCTCACCTCTCGAGTGCGTATGTTGTTGTGATTGTAGGTTGTGAGGGACCAATTTGAACCACCAATCTTCAAGGAGATCTTCCACAAATGGCCGAAGGAGGTGGTCGTCCCCGTCCTTTCAGACCTTTGTTCATCTAGATCAGGCAGTCTGAGCACAGAGCTCAGCACTCCTGTCAGGGGCGAGATGGACATGGCTGCCATAGTATCAGGGGGGATTGACGATCGTGAGGGCATCGACGAGCTGAGTGGGACTGCCACAGTTTGGTGGTGCCGGCAATTTCGTCTGAAGCCATGGCCAGTGGAACGATATGGGGAATTCTATTCAGGGCACTCCTATGTTGTGCAGTACACTTTCAAGAGTGAGCAAAACACATCATTTGGGTGGTGGGGTGGTGGGGTGCTTGGGGGTGGTGTGGTTTGGTGTGGGTGTGGGAGAGAGTGGGGGGGCGTGTATATTGGCTGGCTTCTTTGTATGGTTCTGTTTGTGGTCTGTTGCTTTTCTTGCTTTTTTCTGTTTTTCTCACATTCACTGGGGGCTTGTTTTCTGCTACCAACAGTGTTAATGCTACCCACCCCTTTCTGTGAACAATGGATTCACAGTGCTTGGTGCTGCTACAAGTGGCGATGCATAGGTCACAAGATGACACTGGATAAAACAAACACAAAGGTCATAGTGAATGCTATCTTGACGTTTGGTGAAGTTTGGAAACTGAGCAGACACGTTCAGCGTTGACATCGAAGTAAAGCTGCTCTAGTTCTGCAGTGTCACTTTTGATATGATTGTACAGCTGTTCTCTTGTGGCATTTGACGAGGCATTGCATCACTGGCTCGGACAAGACTTGCTGCTGTTTGAGCTTTGCAACTGCTTTTCCTTGCAGGTGGGTCGCGGCACACTGTTTATTTCTGGCTTGGGCGGGACTCATCTGTCACTGACCAGGGGGTGGCTGCCACCAATGCTGCCAAGATGGCTGAAGGTATTAGTGAAGTGACAGGGGAAGCGAGCGCCTCAAAGGAAAACAAGGAGTCGTGGACGACGGTAGGTAGCTCTGGTCAACTCGACAGGCTGCAGGCTTCTCTTCACACTTCGACTGGCTATTGCATACACCAGTTTGAGTTGCAGCGATTGTCACTTGCTGATTTGTTATAATTTAATCTGTTTTTGACAAATTCCTGGCCGATTTCCATGCACAAGCACACCAGCATTGCTGACAGAAGAGGTGAGAATGTAGCTGCGCTTTTGAGAACACTGTTGTTAACAAAATAGTGGTTTGAATGGAACAATTGTGGCCAAATTGATCTGCAATGTGCTGATTATTCTTGTTAGCTTTTTGTGTCAAGCACAGATAGCTCCTTATCAACTCTGAAAAAGTTGTTGTTGGGCATAGTATACAAGGCCATTATTTCAATAATCTGAAGCTTCCTCTCAGAGCTGAATTTAATGCCCAGACCACCCCCGCGCTGGTGCACGTTTGTTGTACGAACTGGATGTCTATCACATTGTTCTGTGTTGTCTTGTGTTCATTATTCTTTTTCGATTCTTCCCCAGCTTGGACAAAGGTCCCTGGACGTTGCAGATGATTGTTTCCTCATTGTTGGTTGGGGGGAAACAGAAATACATGTGTAATGCCCTCAACTCATTTCAAGCTAATTGCTGGCTGCTCCAGGTGCGTGTGCCTCAACACAAGGAACCTGGGCATTTCTGCCGCATCTTCAAGAGCAGTGTGATTGTGCATTCTGGAAAGTTCAGTGAAGATGAGAAGGAGATCACAGGGCCGGAGCTGTACCGTGTCAGGAGCACAACCCGGCACAACTTGCATGCTGTTCAGGTATGTGCTGCTTTCCACAGAGTCAGGCAGCCAAGTAGCCTGGCTGCACACTTGTGGTCTGATCTATTTGTCTGTCTGCCGGCCTGGTTTTCATGTGCCTGATATCACAATCATATGGCACGATTACTGTGGCACGAAGTGTTGACATGCATCTGAGAGAAAGTCTGCAGATGTTATGCAGCAGAATTATGCTGTGAACTGTCTTGATCCTGCACAGCTTCATTCCGATTTAGAACTCGGTTCAGAGACAGCGGCCATGGAGATAATGAACATGCTGTGTGGAGACGTATACTGCCTACCATGCTGCTTCAAGGGTAGCGTTTTGCCAGTTCGTTGAGGTCTTTGCAGGGGGTGACAAGGTACAATGCCCTTGAGTTCTGTCCTGTGAAACATACCTGGATGTTGCAAATTTATATCTATGTGTATGCGTATTCCATCGTGTAGTGCATGTTGTTGATGCAATATTTGATCAGTGGCTTCAAGCCTTATATATGTGTTTTGGCAAGCGGAGCAGGTGCTTATAAAGATTGCTGTCCACTGTCGCATAGGTGAGGGTGTCGGCACAGTGTCTGGATTCACGAAACTCATTTGTGGTTGTGGATGGGGAGGGTGCGACACTCTGGCATGGCAAGGCAAGCTCAGGCAGGGAACGGGACACTGCCCAGAACGTTGCTATGCGACTGGCCTCCACAACAAGGCGCGAAATTACAGAAGGGGAGGAGGATGAGGCATTTTGGAGCTTGATTGGAGGTGTGTGTGGCGTTGTGCTACTGTTCTTCTGTTGCCATTAGAGTGTTTGGGAGGAAGCCTGAAATCGACAAGACAGATGAGTTCGAAATTCACGATGCACTTGACATTGCCGATTCCTGCAAGATGGAGCACAGTCAGTGCAGGGGAATCGGGTCCTTGTGCAGACTTAGACAGTGGTGCAAAAAGACCAAGACTGAGATGGTGTTTTAAAGAGGGGCCTGGGAATGTCGCGAACAGGATGAACTTTTCTTGGCTCAGAATATTCTGTTGGAGCCGGCTGTACATTATGCACGGGGTGAATGGCAGTGCTCTGCTTTGTTGAACAAAAGTTTTATGTGATTGGCGATCGTTGTATCTAAATGTGTTGTATATCACAATGGCATTGCAATACAATCAATCACATCAGGATTTATCCTGGCTGGAGGATGAATTGTGTGACTGTTGCTTGGTTGCAGGCCAGCGATCGCATGCAACAGGTTCCTTGTTGCCACCCAAGGGCTGCAATGTGCGGCTCTTTCAAATAGATGAAGTGAGGACATCTGGTTCGGGCAGCCATGTGGAGGAGATATTCAATTTCGTGCAAGAGGACTTGTGCGATGATGATGTTATGATGCTGGATGCATGCACCAAGGTGGGCTCAATATGCTATGTGTTGTATATGTCCTCTGAAAGTTAGGGTTGCTGTGTGGACATTGGGAGTACACCTTTGTTGATGCAAAACTCAGTTTCTTCACCACACACGTACCAGTATATGATTTATCACCTGGAAACGTGTTGGAAGGACATTCACCAAGGTGGGACTCTGTGCTTCCTTCTTAGGAGAAGATGGTTTCTGTCCAGTAGTGGGAGTCACGTCGCCAAATGGTGAGCAGTGAATCTGCTGCAGTGCCATCAATGCAACCGTTGAGGGTTCACACTCTGTGCAGGTGTTCCTGTGGGTGGGTCGGAATGCAAAGGCTGGCAGAAAACCAGCTGCCTCAGAAGTCGCAGCCAAGTACATCAAGGTGAAGAGCAAGATCCAGGGCAGCGATGCTGGCACCCCTGTGGAGTTTGTGGATGCAGGGCACGAGCCACCCGATTTCACCTGCCACTTCTGGACTTGGGATCGAGCAGAGGAGCCCCTGCAGCATGTGGGAGGGATGGAAGCAGCAGAGGAGAAGGTAAGGGGAGAGTATTTATGTGTTAATTTTTTGTCAGCCAGTTGCTGTGGCTCATTAGCTTGTATTCAGATTCAGCACCAGAAAATGTGATGCCTTTTTCCCTTTCCAACAGATCTTGAATAGGTGCACAGAGTGGAATCCCAGTTCCTGAAATGCGCATGCCAGAGGTATGTGTGTGCACAAAGCCATTGATTGCGCTTGTGAACTGTGGGAAGCCAGTGTTCTTAATTTAACAGCCTGACGCGAACTAGAGTGGCAATTGAGGCGAATCTGAGATGCAGATGACGTGGAGTTGCACATGACTGAGCATCGCAGGTGCCACCACCAATGCATCAATTTGCAACAGAATGACACTGTTGCTTTTTTTCAACGGCCCTTGCACCAGTTAGGCCTGTGCATTTGGGACCATCCATGGATAGTTGAACCAGGAACCGTAGCCCAGGCGCTCTGAGTGGCTTGTTTCGTATTGAGACGTGGATGCAATACTTCTGGCAATCTGGCAGTCACCTTTGTGGGTAGTAGTAGTAGTAGCAGTGTGCCGCAGTGAAACACTTCTGAAAACATGTGAATACATTTCTGGCAAACGTGCAGCTGTCGCAGCACTCCTTGACCACAAGGTGTGCCCTTGACGTTTTCTGGCCCGTCTTCCTCGTTTTCTTTGGGTAGCTTTGCTGCCGGTTTTGGGGCCGTATGATGACAGTCGAACAAACACGGACTGGATTGCATGCTGTTTTCTGGGAACACTGCCTGACATCGCCAGCTTGGTGACAGGGCTTGCTTTGCCATGTTTTTGGCAAATGTAATCGCAACGGATTTCCACCACAAGGTGTGGCAGATTTGCTCGGCACTGTAGAATGCCAAGGATGGATACCTGCAATGGGGTAGCTATTTCTGCTGTATCGTCTGTGTAGCAACACATGTATGCAAGCGCAATGAAGCATACACATATGGGCTGTCGGCAGGCCTCGACTTCGGCAGTGCATGGGGGAGACCAGGGGCAGCCACACTTGAAGAAAGTCGTGTCATACGTGTCATTGCAAACGATGGGACCTTCGGATGGCGTTGACCCAAACGCCAAAGAAGACCACCTGTCGGATGAACAGTTCGTCGACTTGTTCAAGCAGACGAGAGAAGAATTTCGTGCACTACCCCCTTGGCGCAGGAAAATGCTGAAGAAGCAAGTGGGCCTGTTTTAGCTCCTTTTTTTGTGTTCACGCGCCGGCTTTTGTAAGGAATGGCGAAGGGTAATCTCTGGCGAAGTGTTGTCACCTTTGGTTTAGGATTGGGTTAATGACGAATTCCGTTGATTAAGTTTGTCAGGACCTCCTGACAAACAAAGTCATTGCACGATGCAAACCATGTCGGCACTCCAGCATCCACCAAATTGTTTGTCTGTTTGTTCCTTGAGGGTTGTGCTCGCCTTCTCTTGGCGAAGCAGTTGCTTTGCGCCTGAAAGGCGAAGAGGGGCTCTAATGCGTGCAGAAGAATCTTTTTTATTCACATCTCCGCTCTTCACAGGTGCCTAAGGTGCTGCTGCGAATGTTGGGGTTTGTTTCTATATGAACGCTAGCTTTCTTTTGTAACCTTGTGCTTGTTGAGGCATTTGTAATTTGTCTGGGGCCTTGGGCTGGCCACAGTGCCTAAATGCTTACAGTACTTTGAGCGGCGGCGACCTGTTGTCGCAAGTAGCAGATGTACCCTTTTCTGTTGGAGTGGCGCGGGAAACGGACATGGGGCTGAATAGCCACGCCGGCCGGCCGTGCTTCAAATTCTTGTAGTTTCGTGGTCATGTAATTGATAGTGCTGCAAAAGAGCCAAATCGATAAGACATTTTGGTGTCGATGTGGGCCGCCGATGCCACCAAAGAACGGTTTGATCTGTTGCAAGGATGTTGCCTCCTACTTGTGGGGTTTTGTGTCGCTGAATGGACGAATCATCAGATGGAGCAGCGCCGCATACCTATAGAACAAGTGCAGTTGGACCCACGTAGACTGGCAACCACTTATCTAGGACCCTCCACATAACACACCTTTCAACGTGATGCATTGTCCGTTGCCTGCATGTCATCAAACAATGCATCAGGCGAGGCCACAATCCCTCGTTGTGAAACGCGTTGGTGCATGAGCCCTTTCACCGACAGCAAATCAGTCACGAAGATTGAGTCGGCCCTTGGAGATCAGTATGTGTGCGTCGACACGTGGATGCCCTACACAAAGGCTCGACCTTCCAGGTACCTGAAGCACCGACCCGCAGACACGCTACCAGTGCAGAGCATGCCGAGTCCGTCACAGCTTGTGACTCACGGGCGTTCTGTCAGTCGGCAGTGGGCGTCCGGCGTCACTGCTACAGTGGCGTCTAAGCATGCCTCGAATGTATCAATACACAGATGCAACACAGGTGGGATTTGAATTTGAAGCCTCCTGAAGCCTTTGAATAGCCTTAAACAGCCCGTATATAATAGCTCTTTCTTCATCATCGTCATGAAATTCTCCATAACAAGGTAAGGAGGCAACTGTCCGTTCGTTATGGGCGCAGTCTAACCGACACTGCCCATATTTATTGAACACTTTGGCAAAGGGACAGGACGTTGAGCCTTTATGTTGTCGAGCCGCTCAAAGAGTAAGCGACGCGCTCCCAAAAAATGCCGACAAAAAATGGTCAAAACCGGTGACTCCAAACTTCAGACGCATCACTCTCGGGACTGTAGATCTCTTACCCAGCAGCTATTGGGTCCCTGAATTACAGTTCTGGATGACCCAGTCGCTACTGGGTTAGCGGCATCCACGTTTGCCCCCACAGCCCATCCAGGCACACAAATGTCCAATATCCTTCATTTCTGGGCATAAAGTCATGAAAGTGACGAAGCTAATGAAGTCATGAAGGCCATGCAGGTCACGAAGTTCATTTTCGGGTTTAAAGGGTTTAGGCTTCTGCTTTTTGGGTCCCTCGTATTCTTCATGGGCTGCATATCCGGAAAAGATAGGTTTCGGATAATCCACCACACGCTACTACTACGTTTGCGAAGGCCAATGCGTCCGTGCCCCAACAGAGTGGGTGCAGATTGGCGGTCGGCCAACTTCCTTTGATGTCCGTGCACCAGCGTTCATGGCTGGGGCTCCCTGGCAATAGGTACACCTGTCATGATCCCTGCCTAGAGCCAGTGCGTCTGTGCCCCAACAGATTGGGCTCAAATTACCCAAAAATTGCGCTGCCCACGCTTTGAAGTGTGCATAGCAGCACCCATGGCTGGCCACTTCCTTGCAGCGATTGTGTCTCGACGTGACCTCTGACAGCGGCCGAGCGTCAGCGTTTAAAGGGGCGCCTTTGCGTATGTCGCCCGAGCTCCCAAACCCCTTTTCTTGCTCCTGCAGCCCCTCCTAATGCGATGCCGACCGAAATCATAATTGCGCAACGCTCATTCGCCGAAATGCTGATGAATAAACACCTTGAAAAACGACGCCAAATATCAAGTGTCGAAGGGCTAAATAAACTACGGCATGCACCAGCATTCATCAACAATTGTGGTGCTGATGCCTGGGACACTTATCTCATTGTGCAAGTGTCATACTACAGTAATGCACCATCAACCACTTCTATTTCATGTTCAAATTTTGAGCAAGAGGCGGCCTTTACCATCGCTGACCGGACGGGCATTGTCAACCGACAGCACGTGCGTTTTCATATGTCTCAGCATGTAGGCCGCCGAAAAATGTCTCCTTGTCTTTCATGTTTAACACAATGTACAGGAACACTTTATGTCCTTACCCCCCTCCCTCGTTCGTTCGTTCGCTTTCGTTCATTGTTCAATCTCACAATTGCCTTGACCGCCGCACACAGCTAAGCTTAGCCTTGCGGTACAAAATCCTCAAATCTGAACTCATTCTCCGAGGGACGGGCAGGTGTGAACCGAACATGATGGGTCACGTTCTTTGGGCGCCCTTTAAACGGGGAGGCTGCCTGTCAACAAAGAAAGCCGTACAGCCCCCTCGTGAACACGTCGCCAGTGATTGCGCCACTGAAAATCCGGCTCAAACTGGCCTCTGGGCCTTTCACCTCCTGGCTTGCGCAGAAATCCGGCCCTTGGGTGGGAAACACGCGGGAAGCCGCTTCGATTATCACGGAATCGCTTGGAAACCCATGGACTCGAACGCTCGAGTGCATGGGTTTCCAAACGATTCTGTGAGAATACGTTAACGGCGGAAGTGCAATGGGCGCGATCTGTCGATATCCGAGCGCAGGAGACCTCAAACTCTTGGCCACAAAGCCATTCAGGTTGGGCTGCGTGCCACGGCCTGTGTGCACGGCCTGCACATGTCAAGGCTGTCAACAGGGTGCTTACAACTTCACGGACTGTGGTCCGTCCGTTCAGCCCCTCAGACACTGGGCACGGCAGCATGCGACCTTCGCCCCGCAAACAGCACGGCAGCCACTCCCCAAATACCCTAGCCACGTTAGAATGGGCAGTACAACCCAATTTTATGCAATTTCTATCTGGCCACGTCCATACATGGCAGTTCACATCATTATCACTCTCCTTGCGCCTCATACTCTAGTATTCGTATCACATTTGAGCGTGCTTCCGCAAGCCTCACAGGTCTTAACCTCACATAACATCCTTTCAATGCTGAGATGGACATCATTTCATTCCTTCGTCACCTTTCCAGCACACGCGCAACATCAATCTAGTATGTGCCACGAGCTGAAAGATTCACAGGAATATTCGTTCACACCTACGGCTCCACCTGCCGTTTCCCCGCACTACAATGTACTGCTCACAGACAACGCTGCGACATCACAGCCATGCCACAAATCAACATAGTGATACTTCTTGATCGAATTAAAGGACTGATACACTCACCTAGTGCATCAGCAACAAAATTCCATAACTTTCATGACCAAATTCACAACCAGATTCCTGATGTTTCCCTGCGTGGCAGGTCGCATCCCTATCGGGCTGTCAAGCGTCACAGAACTACGTAAAGCACACCTGCCTGAGGCAAAATAATTGAAAAGAAATGACATGACAGCTTGCCCTAGCCTGCTGCGAATAAATAGTGCATCTATCGGCCAGAAAATCCATATTATTTTACCATTTTGGCGCACAAAGATCACTGAGAAGTCGAAACTATTTCCAACAAGTATCTTGAGAATTACTCACTTAATTACAGCCAGACTTCAAATCTCCCATTAGCCAATGTATTCAGCATAGGCTCACAGCAGTTTCCACAAATGTCCAGTCGTATAATGACATTAGTCACACAAATTGACCGTCATCTTGCTTGAAACTTGTTAGCATAGTCATCAATTGCGTGGATTGCCTTGCCCATATGGGCATGCATGCTGCAGATTGTTGTAGCACACATCGCCACCTCTCTTGGTTTAGTTCCAGTTGATCACCTTTGATGGAAAGCTCGGCAGACATTAGCAAAATCTTCCCGTCTGGGAAAGCATTTGAGATGCACAATCTCAGTCTTACAGCGTCTCATTGGATGCCCACGTTCGCTGTCCTATCTGCCACTATGAGTAATCCGGTAGTGGTACATCATTTGGCCCCGCAAAACCCGTCACCTGTCCCGTGAGACCGTTGCTGCATTGCAGCACCACCAGCACTGCCGCCTCTCGCCATTTGCTCATTCCAGAAGCTGCAATCCCGTGCAGCCTTCGAGGCCTCCACCCAGCCAGTGGATCCATCGGCGAAGATTCACCACAAGTCGTAGCCATCATCGGTCCCACCGGTTGCCATTGGTGCTCGCAGCCCCTCGATCCCGATTGTTGGCAAGCCAATCGACATGCATTGCAGTGGCCGATCGGTGCAGATCTATCCTTGTGGCAGTGTTGCATTGTTGTAAACGGTCCCCAAGTGAGGACGCAGTTTCGCAAGCCAAGCGCCCACGTCCAGAGTGGTTGCGCCCAGAGCCCAATGCGTTGCGCCACGCCTTGGGACGTAAAACCTTCATGGCGTTGGTATCGTGTCCCATACCTTGGCGGAATTGGGCGCACATCAAGATACCCATACGTCTTGCTACATTGCTATTTCCATATTCTCCTTTTATATTGGAGTTCGTCCCTTTATAGGAGGGTAAGCCTTTTTTGGCTTTCTGTGATTTTTGCCAATTCCTAGCCAATTTTTAAGGCTCATGGGTCGCTAGTTTGCCATAAATTTCATATTATATATTGACGACATGAACAAGAGCTG